ATATATATATATATATATATATATATATTAGGAATCTAAATAGGCTAAAAGAAATCAATTAAATTATTTTGCAGAATATATATGATATGATTTGTACTGGTTTTATGAAGATTGCATAGACAAAATATAATGGAGATTGTAAAACATCGTTCTTGATAATCTATAGCTGATTATTTTAAAAGTGTAAATAACTTAATTTAAGGAAGGAAAAAATTGTGTACGTGTATGCAATCAATTTCAAATTTGTATTCTATAGGATTAAACAAAACCCAAAGTTATAAGAATGTTCCAGTCCGATTTTATTTTGAATTTCAAATTAATGTTATCTAACTCTATTTCATGTTTAAAAAAATCTGAATTAAAGAAAGAAGTAGCTAAATGATATGAGATTTTTAAATTTTAATTATCGATTTGAAATTGGACCGATTTTTATGCAATCTGATTTTTAACAAACATGATGGCCTTGTTTGGCGATCAGCGGATAGCGGATAGCGGATAGCGGATAGCGGATAGCGGATTGTATTAGCGGATAGTGGATAGCGGATTATATTAGCTGATTTGACTAGCGGATTGCATTAACGGTTTTTAAATAAGTGTTTGGTAAATAGCTGAAAGTTTATAGCTGTTTGACATTGCAAATTACCAATAAAGACATTTTATTATTTAGGGTGTATTCTTTTAATAATAATATATTAAAACATTTAATATTTTTTAGTTGGTAATTTATAAATATATATTTAAAAAAAAAATACTAAAAATTGATTAAAAAGTTATGAATTTTACATTTTTCTAGATAAATTAATCATATGGATGACATATTATTATTTGTTAGCATCATAAACCAATGTAGATTGTAAAATAAATAATACAAATTAAAAAGTTCTAAATTAAAATTGTAGATTGTGAATCCTCTATCCCCAAAAAACTCCTCTAATGAGCTTTTTCTAAATTAGAGTTTTGGGCCTAAAAAGCTTATCAAATAAGTTATTTACCAAACAAGCTTAATAGCGGATTTGACGGGTCAAACCTCTCAATTAAGTCCAATCCGCTAATTTATCCTCAATCCGCTATCTTCCAAACGGGGCCGATATGTTACAGTTAGGTAAAGATACATGTTAAAGTATTTTTCTTAATTCGAAATTCTCGAATTTATGGTAAATAATTTTTTTTAATAAAAATGAAAGAAATTTAACTTTTACAAAGTTGTTATGTCGAATTCTACCTAAATTAACATGATTTCTATGCAATCCGATTTTTTAATAAACAATTGATCTGTTTCAATTAGGAAAAAGATATATACGATAGTATTTTACCTTATTCGGAATTCTCGATTTTATGGTAATCAGTTTTTTTTAATTAAAAAATGAGAAAAAATTTTGACTTTTGTAAAATTGTAAACATCATTCGAAATTTACCTAAATCAAATCCACAAAACCCATGCATATATAGCTGCTCGATTTTTTGAGAATACTTTAAAAAATAATACAGTAAAAAATTGTCGAAAATAGAATGCAATAAATGGTGATTGACTTTTCTTGTTATAGTTTTTACTAGATAGTTTTTTTTAGTAAATAGGTGCAAAATAGATAATTTATTATTTAATGCCCTGAATTATCTTTGTGGTCTGCCTTATCTTCACGGGTTATTAGTCCTGATCACAGACCGGCTTGCAATGGAAAATAAATTGATTGTACCATCATTTTTCATTATTAAATATTGAGGAAGTACAACTTTTTAAGGTCTTGTTATCATATTTGTTATAAATAAATAATCTACAAAGTATTATTATTTATTATTCAGGTGTTGCCTATTTTGACTGAACTTTCTTGACTGGATAATTAAAAATCAATTGATTTGACGCATTCAAATATGGTCAAAAATGTAAAAGTATTACTTTTTTTTTTTCCTAAATTAGTAGTCAATTGATTTGGAATTCTACTGTTTAATGGAATGTGCTGGGGTTTCGGCGACCAATGGAATGTGCTGGGGTTTCGGCGATTTCGGGTCGGCTAGTTCTTGGCTTGAGGTGTTTTCAGGGTTGGGGATGAAGTGGTTTCTGCGGTTGGAGTGAGGGTCGGCTATTGGGAATAATTCGGGGCATCGATCTCCGGGTTCGCTAGGCCTTTGGCAATGGTGAGCGGGATTCTGGTGCTTTGAATTCTCCAGTCGCAGGCTTAGTTCGATGGCTTTTTTGGATCTCTCTGCTGTGGGAGGATTGCCTTTTAGTTCTTTGGTTTAGTTTTTATTTTTAGTGTTTTCTGTTTAGGTTTGTGTTGTTCTCTTTTCTGTTTCGTGTTTTAGGTTTGAGTTGTTGACCCCGGTGAGCCCGAGTGTCAATTTTCACGCCCGAGTGTCACCTTATTACCCTGCTGGGGTCCGACACTCGGGTATTATTCTGTTGGGGTCCGACACTCGGGTAGTTGTTTTAGTTGTTTTAGTTTGTTTTAGTTGTTTGTGTTGCTGGTTTCTTTAGTTGTGAGTTTTTTATTCTAGCGTTGCTAGCGGGTTTCTAGGCGGTCTTTTGACCTGTCCTCCCACTTTATTTTCCCTTTGGGAGCTTTGTATCTTTATTCGCCGTTGTGCGCTTTTGATTTATAATAGTTTCTCTATCGTTTTGGAAAAAAAAAAATGGAATGTACTCATATTAAAGTATGTTCCTTGTTTCTTTTCAATAAAAATATTAATGAATTTGGTACTAGGTATCCAGGATCTCATCGCGAGGAACTGGGAGGTACGCTTACTCCATGATTGGCGTGAATCCAACTTTGTAGCGGACTCGTTGGCCTCTTTGGCTACACGCAGCCCCGACGGGCTCCATGTATTACAAAATCCCTCGAGTGTCATTAAACCGTGACTGGCACATGATATTCTTGATGTGTCGCACCCGTGGAACGTAGTTATTTGATTGTTACTTAGGCTTTGCCTCCTTTTAGTACCGAAAAAAGAAATTTAATGATTTTTTTTTTT